TGGACACCTGACTCCCCTCCCCTCTGCGATCTTAGCGCCTCCCCAACTATTCTCCTTACCTCATTGAAGTCTGCCCTCCTGAAGTCCAGGGCTGCTGCCTTGCTGCAGGCGTTTGCCACCTTGCGCTAGATGGTGAATTCCAGCAGGCGATGATCACTGTCACCCAGGTGGTCGAGAACCCACAGCCCCCTCACCAGGTCGTCGCCTGTGGCCAGCACCAGGTCCAACAAGGCATCTTCCCTGGTGGGCTGTGCACCTCCTGGGTTAGATGGAGGTCCTGTATTTCGGCTAGGAACCTACATGAGCAGTCAGACCTGACTGACTGCTCTTCTCAGCAGATGTCTGGAAAGTTCAGGTCACCCATGATGACCACGTCCTTTAACCTAACTACCTCTGTGAGCTGACTTAAGAATTCCTGACCTAGCTCTTCCCCTTGGTTGGGTGGTCTGTAGTAGACCCCTACCATTAAGCCCCTTTCCCCTTTAAAAAACCCCACAGAGCCAGAAACACCTCAATACCAATCCAGATTCTGGCAATGATTCCTCCCACTTAACCTTAGTTTCTCCATCTATAAATGTTTCAATTAGTCACTGTTTCCACCTGCAGCTGGGGAGATGTTGATGATTAAATAGGAAGTGATTGTAAAGATTTTTGGAAATTAAATATAGGTCAAGTGGGAAACGGATTATTAAAATGATCACTTTTATCCTGGAATTCTGAGTCTTCACTGGTATTTCTAAACCTAAAACCATTAAAATATAGATCATAGGACATTTTTTTCATTCAATTATGTTGGTGCAACCATATAGACTTTGCTGAAGTTGTGTCAGTGTAAATACAAGAAGAATTTGAGTCGTCTTCTAAGGAAATGCTATTTACTTTTATTTTTTTATTAATACCTTTAGTATTTTAAAAAGGTAGGGTAGTTGCCTACAGTTTTCTTAGATAAATCTCAGTTGCCTTCTAAAATATATTGAAGGGCCTTTCTTGTGCCTTCAGAGTTCTCATTCAACACTAGGTTTATAACTTCTCTAGTAAGTGTAACAATCGTCATCATCTTCATCAAATGAAAGGCATCCAGAGATTTCTGTGGTAAAGAATTTGTCTTCTGTGCTCTCAGTCTCACTCCCCAGTGGTTGCTATCTCTCAGAAAGGAGTCCTGGCAGTATGTTCCTCTATTAAGAGGAAAGGAGTGAAGAGCTACAACAATTCCTTTTGTTTTGGCCAATCTTCAACTATGGAAAATCCTTCTAAAGAGGACAACAAGAATTTCCTCCATGTATGAGAAGCCATTCTAAATGGAGATTGTCAGGCCATTTTTGTCCCCATTGAGCCTATGCTTTCCATCCCTAAAGCTAAACCATGATTTATGGTATCACAGTGAATCTTTTGTCAGATTTGTCAGTGACAGGAATGTGAATTTCCTGTAAAGGATCTGTTAGCTGTCAATAGAAGAGGCATGGTGTTCCTAAGCTGAAACTGAAGGAAAGCATCTTACTTGGGGCAATAACCTTCCAGCATGTTTCTTACTCAAATTCTGTGATCTATTTAAGTGTTTGGGGGAGGGGAGTCTTTTCTTTTCTTCATAATCTGGTTGTTGTATTTCTGTCATCCAAAATGCTAAACTGAGTTCAGACCTCTGTCTGGTAGAAGAGAAACCTGCTAGAGAGGAGAATAATAAAAGGAAAGAGATTTTCCTGAAAAGAGTAGAATGGCTATACTTCCAGCCCTTATATATTCATTTCCTGTTCTGAAGAAGTCTCTAGCTTCTAAAAAGGAGTTTTTGCCTAGACATTAGAAGCCATTTTTCTCTCTTGGATGCAAACTAACATATTGAACTGGAATACCTACATTTAGTTTGAGAATGTTTTTCTATTCTAATAGAGTTATTCTGACTTGTTACAATGGTGTAAGTTTAAATAACTCTGCTCCACTTCACTTCACTTCACTTACACTGGCGTAAGTTTAAATAACTCCAAAGAAGTGGCTATTGTGCACATAAGTTGTTGTTAAACTGGCTTCTTTTTCTGATTCATAAGCCTGTATTAAGTTAGTAGTAAAAAAGAGTAGAAATGACTATAGAAAGATCATTGCAAAGTGTTTCCATCATAAATGCATAGTAGTGAAATTCACTTGACCAGAAACGCTGAACATGATAACATTCTGAATCTAAATTCTTGTTGAGAAATCTAAGTACTTGTCTAGAGACAATAATAAAAAGGTTAATTGGAAAATAAATTATAATATAATAAAAGCCTTCGTCTATCTGTCTATCTGTCCATAATGCTCTGGACCAACTGCACATGCACCGCTTAGAGAGCATGCGCTGATTGGCTGCGAGGGTTACAGACAGAGGGAGCAAGGGAGCTGCTGCACTGCCCTTCCCCCCCCAACAGCTGGCAGGGAGGGGGAGGTGGTGAGAAAGAGGGGAAGAAGGGAAGGGGGGAGGGGAAGTGGAGTTCCCAGGGGCAGTGCGCCCCCA